TTGGGAGCACGGAGATGGGGGAGCACGAGGATGGGGAGCACGAGGATGGGGAGCACGGAGATGGGGGAGCACAGAGATGGAGAGCACAGGGAGCATAGAGGTGGAGGAGCACGGAGATGGGGAACACAGGGAGCACAGAGATGGGGAGACGGAGATGGGGGAGCACGGGGATGGGGAGCACGGAGATGGGGCAGAGCCGCTCTCCACCCCCAGGGTTGGAAAGGCCCACGGTTGCTTCCTCCCTGCTCTGTCCCACCAGGAAGAAATGGAAGCTAATGGTGTCATGCTGGGGGGGCTGTTTTCCCAGTGAGCCCTACTCCCCACGGGCTCTGGCTCCCCAAGGCTACTGTCAGCTGTTTCCAGCCCAATAATGTGGGTTTCTGTGCACTGGGAAGCATGCAAACCCAGCCAGGGGGATTCTTCAGGTGTCCTGCCCCGGGGGGTTGGTGCAAACAGTCTCTGTCTGGACGCCAGGAGCCGCGGTGGCCTGCAGAGTCCGCGTCCCGCCAGACCCGGCGCGAGGACTCCACCCTGCACTGCCCACCTCAGCGCAGGCCTCTCTTGCTCTCTCCGGGCACGGCCTCCCCCACCTGACGACCTCCTGTGGTTACTTGGGGCTCCACCTCTGCCCACAAGGCCCAGGGCCCACGTCCTGGCCACACCTCCACAGTGTGAGTCCCTTCTGAGACCTGGATGCCGGTATTTCCTGGGCTAGACAGTGGTCAGCGCAGGGGGGGCTCCAAATGGCACCTGCACCTGACCGTGCGCAGGTGGCTGGTGGGAAGAGAAGGGGCCGTGCTGGCCGGGCCTGACCCTCATTTTAGCCCAGGGCCACTGAGGAATCCAAGGACGTGAGACGTGAGCCAGGGCTCCCCTGTCATGATGCAGGTGCCTGGTGACGGTGGGAGAACAGACACCACAGATGTCAGCCCCTGGGGGGGCCCTACATGGGCCCAGGCGGCAGGCGTGTGCAGGAGAGGGCACAGTCCCTGCCCTGCAGCTCAGTGGCGGCTGTGTGCCTTGTCCTGGCTAACTCGAGGCACCACCTGCAGGGAAACTTGGGTTACTGCGCCAAGGCCTGGTGTCAGCCCTGGTGGCTCCAGGGAGCAGGTCCTTGGTGGGGGACACCGTGTGCAGAGGCCCCTGGATTGCACCAACTGCTCTGGACAGCGGCCATGGCCCTGCAGCCCACGCCATCCCATTTCCTAGCACAATCCCTGCCCCCCAGGGGTTCCTGGCCCTTCCTCTGGCTCTTCCTCCCTCCCCCTTCCCAGGGTTGTTGGGCAGAAAAGGCCTCGAGGTCCCAGGATGCACCATCCAGGCAGTTAGCACAGATGTGCTCGCTCAGAGATTAAGGATGGAGGTCAGATGACCAAACAGGAGAGGAGCAGGAGTGGGTCGGTCAAGTGCCAGCAGGGAGAGCACCCCCATCCCAGACACCCCGATTCCACTGGAGGGAGGGTACCCCCCACCCAAGACACCCCGATTAAACTGGGGAGAGGGCACCCCACCCAGACACCCCAATCCCACCAGGGGGGAAGGCACCCCACCCCAGACACCCCAATTCCATCGGGAGGAGGGCACCCCCACCTCAGACACCCCAAATCTACAAGGGAACCAACCACAAGGCCCAATCAGCAGCCAAGCTAGGATAGGACTCTAAAATTGCCCCCCACCAGTGCTAGCAGGATCAGTGACCTCTGTGTAGGCTCAGAATCAACGAAGGAAACACCGAAATGAACAAATCATAGAATGGTAGAATGACTACTTAGGAGAAGCAAAAAATCAACCACTGGTTGACCTAAGGGAAGGGAAAGAACTTGGGGTGGGGAGTGTCCCTGGTCACTGCCCCAGGCTCCCTCCCCTCCAACCTGCCTGTCTTCCGAGTCAAGTGGGTGCTAAGCTGGGGGCGGCTTGGGTCCCCCATGAGACATCAGGTGGTACCCCACAAGGGCAGTAGCCATGCAAAACCAAGCCAGGGTCTGTTGGGGGGTTGGTCACTGGACCGCATGGCGGGCCTGGTCTAACCCTGCCTCCCTCCCACCAAGAGGTCAAGGAGCTGAGAAGCCAAATCAAAGATAGTTTCAAGGTCAAGCCCTTGAATTTACTGAACACTCAGTCGGAGGCTCCTGCAGGAGGGTCTGAGCAGCCTGGGTGAGGGCTAGCTAGGAGGGGCTGACGGGGGCAGAGGGGAGGGCCGGGTGCTGACCCGCGGACGTGCCGTCGGTGAGACAGGCACAGACGCGGGCACGGGAGTGCACACCCGGTGGCTCGTCCTTGGTGTTCTCTCCTTTAATCCGGCTTAACCCTTTTACAGCCTCTGAAAAAGCCACGCAGACCCCGGGGGGAGGGGGTGGCGTTGGAGCGGACGCCCCGGGCGCGCTCTCAGGGAAGGACACCCGGGCAGGGCCCACAAGCCGCTGCACCCACTCCTTGGTCTGAAGAGTCTTTGTCAGCGCCAGGGATCCTCACTCATTAGCACTCGCGACCGTCCTCAGACTCAGTATTTCGTGTCGAACAGTATCTTCTGGGGCTGGGACGCAGGTGGGTGGCGTGGACGGTGCCCAGCGAGAGCCGCGAACCGGTGGCTTCTAGTTAAGGTGGGCCCCGGTCCCGACTCCGTCACTTGATCCTGTAGCTTCCTGGCCTTTCGGGAGAAAGGGAGGGGGTGGACGTTAGCCCAGCTGGCAGGGCCCGGGGTGGGGGCACAGCCCCGTCCACACAGGAGGACCGTGTACAGGTGCACAGCGCTCTGTCGTGTCCCGGGGTCTGCAGGGGAGCCGGCTGAGCACCCTCCCTCCCAAGGAGGACAGTGACCTCTCCGGGTAGGCCCGTGGGCTGTGCCTCCCGGAGTCCCCACCAGGGCCCCGCCTGTGACACCTGCCCACAGCTTAGTGAATGCCAGTCTGTGGAGGGTTGAAGACAGGAGCAGGGGCTCCTCATGTGGCCAACATGGGCACCATCCCTGACCATGACCCCACCAGAGCCTCATGCCTGTCCTGGGGGGGCAGGGCCTCAACTGCACCCTCACCCCACAGACACAGCAGCAGGACCAGGGTCCCTAATAGTGGAAGGAGATCCCCAGCGGGGAGTCCTGTGCCGCTCCAGATCCCATGTTCTCAGCCAGTCTGCTGGGCCAGGAAAAGTGGTGGACGGGGCTCCGTGGCCCTCAGTGGGATAAAGTGGCCAGCGTCAAGGAGGCAGGCTCTTTCCTGTCCCGGTCCCGCAAGAAGCTGGCCAGCGAGTACTCGCGTCTGCAGTGCTGGGACCTCCCCGGGGCATAACCCGGACCGCCCTCCAGCCCAGGCACCGAGACCCCTAGTACGGATCCGTCACAACCGTGGGTTAACGTTCAGGTCCACGTCATTATGGCTGGGTAACAATTACTACCCTGGACAACGTGGGATTAGGGGCGCCAACCCTGCACGGCAGAAAATCCGTGTGTAACTACTAACTCCCCCAAACCGTACGAGCGGCCCAGAAGTTAGGCCTCTGTTGCCAGTAACACACACCGTTGATTAACAGCTACTCTGTATGCGGTGTGTGTTCCAGACGTCATCTCACGACAGTCAGCTAGAGAGAAGACGACGTCACTGAGGAAACCACAAGGACAAGTTACAGCACGTACTGTCAAGGACCCGCCTACGAGCGGACCTGGGCCGCCCCGGCCGTGCTGCCTGTTTTTTTCCCTGCAGAAATCTATGTTCGTCGTGCAATTACTAACCGCTCCTTCAGAAAGATTTGCTTTGTTTTCTTTTTTTTTTTTTTAATTTTTTTTTTCAACGTTTATTTATTTTTTTGGGGACAGAGAGAGACAGAGCATGAAGCAGGGGAGGGCAAGCAGAGAGAGGGAGACACAGAGGTCGAAGCAGGCTCCGGATCTCAGCCCAGAGCCGACAAAGGCCAGCCGAGCCGAACTCTCGAACCGCCGCAGATCGGACCTGGCTGGTCGGACGCCTAACGACCGCTCTCACCCAGAAGTCCCTTTGCTTTGTTTTCACTTGCACTTGCTGGGAACCTCGACATCCTGTCCCCTTGCTCAAATGCTCAGCGATCTGTCTGCCCTGGAGAGACCCTCGGGGCTCCTCCCTGAGCTCCAGGCTGGTGGCCTGCACAGCCGACAGCCTGGGGGGGGGGTGCTCCTGGGCTCTCTTTTGGGTCAGCTTCCTTTTTTCTGGAACACTCACTCCTTACCCGTTCTGCTGACTTGATTTGGAAGGATGCACTCTGCAGTAGCTTCCAGAGAAAGGCCGCGCAGAAAGGAACGCGGTGAGACCTTGCGTGGGAATGCCTCTGTCCGTGGGCACCTGGCCTGCCAGTCTGAGGACAGAATTCCTTGCTGCCCCCCCACCCCCCGGTGGTGAGGCCACTCTGTTCTCTCCTGGCCCTTTGCAGGTTTCAGCTTCCTGTTAGACCAGACGGGACGCGTTACACTCCGTGACCTGCCTCTCACACATCATCATCACCCAGGGGCCGTGGTTTACGGCAGGGCTCACTCCTGGTGTGCGTTCTGCCGGCCCAGACAGATGTATAATGACAGGTGTCCGTCACTGTGCTGTCACAGAGCTGGCACCACCCTAAACATCCCCCGTGCTCCGCCTGCTCATCTCTCTGTCCCCCAGCCCTGCAGCCACAGAGGCTCCTACTGTGCACAGAGTTTTCTCTCTTCCAGAACGTCATACAGTTGCAGCCTTTTCAGATGGGCTCTTTCGCTTAGTGATATTCATGTGAGGCTCCCTCAGGTCTAGTCATGATGTGACAGCTCGTTCCTTTTTTGGGGCCAAATGGTACTCCATGGTCTGGAGGGACCACGGTTTATTTATCCGCTCACCTACAGAAGGACATCGTGGTTGCTCCCAAGTTTTGGTAACTATGAGTGAGGCTGCTATGAACATCTGTGAGCAAGTTCTGGTCTGGACTTAAGTTTTGAACTCTTGGGAAAATGCCTAGGGGCACGATTGCTGGACCTCAAGTTCAGAGTACATTCAATTTTGTAGTAAATCACCAAACTGTCTTGCAAAGTGGCTGTGCCGTCTGGCATCCCCACGGCATGAACGAGAGTTCCCGTTGCCCCACATCCTCAGAGTTCCCGCTGCCCCACATCCTCACCAGCATCTGGTGTCGTCCGTGACTGGATTATAACCATTCTAATAGGTGTGTGTGGTACCTCTCTGTTCTAATTTGCAATTTCCTAACGACATACAATACTGAGCATCTTTTCAATGCTTACTTAACATCTATATATCTTCTTCGGTGAAGTGTCTGTTCAGATCTGTGGCTCGCTTTTTAATTGGGTTGTTTTCTCTCTATATTTTGGATAAGCAGTCCTTTAGTAGATGTGTCTTTTGCAACTATTTTCTCCCAGTCTTTGGCATCTTATTTTTTTTTAAACTTTAAAAAAAATGTTTATTTATTTTTGAGACAGAGAGTGAGTGGGGGAGGGGCAGAGAGAGAGGGACACACAGAATCCGGAGCAGGTTCCGGGCTCTGAACTGTCAGCACAGAGCCCGACATGGGGCTTGAACTCACAGACTGCGAGATCATGACCTAAGCCGAAGTTGGACACTCAACTGACTGAGCCACCCAAGCGACCCTATTTTAATGTTTATTTTTGAGAGAGACAGAGACAGAGTGCAAGGTGGGGAGGGGCAGAGAGAGAGGGAGACACAGAATCTGAAGCAGGCTCCAGGATCTGAGCTGTCAGCACAGAGCTCTATGTGGGGCTTGAATTCATGAGCCATGAGATCATGACCTGAGCCAAAGTCGGACACTCAACTGACTGAGCCACCCAGGTGCCCCTGGCATCTTATTCTTTTGACAGTATCTTTCGCAGAGACAAATTTTTAAATCTTAATGAAGTCATTATCATTTTTTTTGTGGTGCCTTTGATGTTCTATTTAAAAATTCCCCACCAACCCAAGGTCACCCACATTTTCTACGTCATTTTCTACAAGTTTTACAGTTTTGCATTTTACATTTAGTTCTGTGACCCACTTTCGGTTCACTTTCGGGGAGGCGTAAGGTCTGGGTCTAGATTCACTATTTTGCACGTGGACGCCCAGCGGTTCCAACACCATCTGTTGAAGACACCATCTTTGCTCTGCTGTGTTACCTTCGCTCCTTTGTCGGATATCAGTCGACTGTACTTATGTGGGTCTTCCTCTGATCCACTGACCCATCTGTCTACCGTTCCACCAACCCCACGCCATCTTGATTACTGTGACTTTACCGTGAGTCTGCAGGTCGGGTAGTATCAGTCCTACAACCTTGTTCTCCTTCAGTGTTGTGTGGGCGATTCTGGGCCCTTGTCTCCTCTCCATATAAACGTTAGCAGCAGGTTGTCGATATCCACAAAATAACTTGCTGGGATTTTGATTGGGATTCTGCTGAATGTCTTCATCAACTTGGGAAGAACCGACATCCTGACGATATTGAGCCTTCCCATCCATGAACATGGGATTCCTCTCCACCCCTTTAGTTCTTGTTTGAGTTGACTCATCAGTTTTGTTGTTTTCCTCACACAGATCTTGTACATATTTTGTTAGATTTGTACCTAGCACCATTTTTTGGGTGCTAATGTGAATGTTCTTAATTTAAAATCTCACTTGTTTGCTGATGGTATATAGTAAGTGACTAACTTTTACATCTTAACCTTGGATCCTGCATCCTTGCCATAATCACTTATTAGTTCCAGGAGATTTTGCTCAATTCTTTGGGATTTTCTACACAGCCAACTAAGTTATCCAGAAACAAAGATAGTCTTAACTCTTCCTTCTTAATCTACCTCATTTTCCTTTCTTGTCTTGTTGCAGTAGCTAGGACTTCCCATGTGATGCTGGAGAGAAATGGTCTCGTTCCCGACCTTCAGGGGAAAAGTAGTTTCTAGTGTCTCACCATGAAGTACGATGTTCGCCGTAGTTTCTGTAGATGCTCTTTATCAAGTCAAGGAAGTTCCACTTGTGCCTAGTTTGCTACAAGCAGTTACCACAAACAGGTGCTGGATTCTGTTAAATGCTGTTCCTGCACCAAATGATACGATCGTGTGATTTTCCTTCTTCGGCCACAAGGTGACGATGCGTTACATAAAATGGGTTTTGAATGTGGAACCAGCCCCGTGCACCTGGGACAAACTCCACTTAGTCATGGTGTATAATTCTTTTTATACTTGTTAGGTTTGATTTGCTAATATTTTGTTGAGGATTTTCGCATCTGTGTTCAGGGGAGACACCGGCCTGTAGTTTTCCTCACACGTGACGTCTTTGTTCTGGTATTAGGGTAATGCTGGCCTCAGAGGATGAATTACGATGTTTCCCCTCCACCTCTATTTTCTGGAAGAGATTATAGAGAATGGTATCATTTCTTCCTTAAACGTTTGATAGAATTCTCCAGTGAACTCACTTGAAAATTATTATCGGCTGGATTCCTTTAATAGATACTAGATATTCAGACTGGCTATTTCTTGTGTGAGTTTTGGCAGATGGCGTCTTCCAAGGCATGGTCCATTCCGTGTTAGGTTATCAGACTTGTGAGTACAGCTGTTCATAATGCCAGACCGGCCTTTCACTCCACAGTTGAAGCTCGAGGCACAGATGTTTAGAAGCCTTAGGAGGTAGAGCTTGGGGGTGTTTAAGGAGGAGGTTACAGCCACGAACAACGGATTTGGAGAGAATAAAGTTAGCTGAGAGGGCAGGTGCAATTCTCTGGGCTGGGAAGGCAAAGCCGGCAGAGGGTAGAGTCTGACAGGGTGGGGTCCCTGAGAGGCAGCCCAGGCCCTGCCTGCGCTCCCTCCTCCCCTCCTCCTGCCCCGTGGACCCCGTGGACAGAGGAGGCGACGGAGCCCTCCGACGGGCTGTGGGGACGGCTCTGTGGGCAGCTTTGGTGCCGAGCCGCTGCGTCAAGGTGAGCCTGGGCTCGGGGGGCCGGGGAGAGCAGACGTGTTTTCCTGCGTCCATGAGCAGCAAGGGCACAGAGGCATCAGGCTCAGCCTGCACAGCCTGAAGCCGGTCACTCTGGGGAGGTGACAGGTCCCCTTACCGCTGGGTGGATAACTATGTGTCATCTGGGGCAGGAAGCCACCTTTCTTGAGCGCGGCATCATTCCCGTAACCCCGACCATTTCTGCACACACAGCACACGTCTGTGCAAAGGGGCCTGCCTCCCTGCCCATGGGTTCCAGGGGGTCAGCCGGCTCCAGCCCCGTCAGGGTCTCACCAGGCTCTGCTGGTTACCAGGCGTCGGGCAAGGACCCCACGGGCACGTCCCCATTGTCCCTGCCGATAAAGCGGAGGCCGTGCTGGGGTCCCGGCAGGTGGCACAATGTGCCAGGGGGCTCACGCACCTCGCACGCCAAGAAAACACCTCTTATCCTCCCACGAAGCGCGATTCTGGGCACGTCCCTCACGTGAGGCACGTGGAGCGCTCCCCACGATCGAGAGAACGCGTGCTCCGAAGAGGCGCGGCAGGTTCCCTCCGATTCTTAACAGAACGATTCGTTTTTACACAGAGCCAATGCGCACTTACAATCTCCAAGTCCCGGACAGCCGGACTCATTTCCTTGAGTGGCGCTGTGCCTCGAAATCTTTCTCTTCCCTCGTGCGTTTTCTGAATGTGCTGCTTTAGGTTTTCTTCCCAGAGCTCCTCTCGGAAGGCCCTGAGGGAACAGAGGGTGATGAGGACATGGTTTTACACGTCGAGTCGAAGTCTCGGCAATCCCTGCTCCGACAAGGGAGAGAGAATTTTCCTTTTTTCCTACAGGCCAGAGTGCAGTCCTGGGGCTCAGGGGCTGTCGCCATGAGAATGGGGCCACCTAGGCCACCCGCTCCCCCTCCGGGCAGCAGCTCAGACAGGCCCAGGCGGTGAGAAGCCGCAAGAACACGCGCCACGTTTTAAAACTTCACATCCAGGTAAGAAATTACACATTCAGGGCCGTGCACAGACACTACACGAAAGGGACAGTCTCTGTCTTCACAGGAAATACACAGTTGTGATAAATCCTTAAACGGGATTATTAAATTAGGATTTCAGACATACTTGCTCTGCCAACATCAGGGCTTTGGGCTTAAATTCTCTGCCTTTAAACACGAGGATGTTCAGAGTAGCAGAGCATTCTGGGCCACGCAGGAAGGGCGGCAGTGCCTGGTGTGTGAGGAGGCCCTGGAGTCTGGGGTGTCTGCCCAGGAACAGAACCACCCCCCACCCCCATCCCCCACCCCCCCAGCCTCCCCAGGCTCCCGAGCCCGGGGCCTCCCAAGGCCCCAGCCCCACCCCCCAGTGGCCCCGGAGTCTGGGGTGTCTGCCTGGGAACACAACTGCCTCCCCCTAGCCTGGGGCTTCCCGAGGACCCTAACCCCCCCTAGCCTGGGGCTTCCCGAGGACCCTAACCCCCCCCCCCCAGCAGCAGCCTCTGTGTCGGCTTTGTTTGCTTTTCAGCATAATGGACACAGGCAGGACGGTGGCCTCCAGTCCTGCCCTGCACAGACCGCAGTATTGGCACCTCTGAACCCCGGTTCTCAGGAAAGCCCTGCCCACAGGGCAGTCGGGGTCCGCGGGCACACGCTCGTGTGCTGTGGGGACAGCTGCATGCAGTCCATTTCCATCTAAGCCACTCCACGGGCTGGGGTGGGTCCTGTCTGCGGACCTGCAGGGTTGTCCCCGGGGTTCTGGGCATGAACACGAATGACTCCCCAGAAAAGAACACCCCTTCGCCGTCCACGCGTCACACCAGGACGACCTTCCTCTGGGCCTCCTGGTCCCCAGAATGTGGAAACACGGCGGTGGGCAGAGCCGGGACGTGCAGGCCAGGCCGGTCCTCCCCGGAGCACGTGAGCCCCCCACCCACGCCCAGAGCTCGCCTCCGCTCGGCTTCGGAGCGCCCAGGGCGGGGCCGGCAAGAGGGGGCACGGGAGCCCCGTCCAGCAGTGTCCCCGGCCGCCCATGGCTCTCCCCGCGTGCCCGGGAGGGGTGCAGGGTGCAGAACAGCACAGTCACAGCATCAAGTGTGTTGTGAGTGAAAGAGCCGAGAGGAAAATGCACGTGCACGCACACGCACACAGGCACACAGGTCTACTTCCGGTGTGCAGCAGCTGGGGAAGGGTGAAGGGCCCAGCGGTCATTCCCGGGGTGCAGATGCTGGGTCAGCATCGGGGGTGTGCTTGGTCACCCGCACTGCACCGGGAAAACTGCAGAAATGCCACGCCCCCAGCAGCTGCTGTTCCCGCCCTGCCCCGCCCCCGCTCCCCCTCCCCCTCCCCCGGTCTGCCCCAGATGCCAGCAGGTGCCAGTGAGTGCTGGGGTGCGAGCGCGGCCACCAGCGGGCAGCGGGGCTGAACTCGGACCCCGGGACCAACCTCATTTCTTCACTTGTTTGCGAGGACTTCTCTTTGCTTTGCCTCACGTTTCCGGGTGGATTCACTGGCATTTTCTCATTGTCTGCCAAATCCACGGCACGGGGAATCTTTGACACCACCTAGGAAAAGGCAAGATATTTTCAGGAACCCAAGGAAATGCTGCCGTTCACACGAAGCCAACCGCCCGCAGGCAGTAGACTCATCCTTCCTCCGAGGAGGCCGCAGGCTGGACGCTGGTCGGTGGGAGGGCAGGGTCCGAGGGGGGATGCCAACGGGCCTGGAGAGCTGCCCGCAATTCTGTCCGCAAGGCGGACAGGAGCCGTGCTCTAGAATGGGTTCCACGCCTCTCGAGTGGGTGCGGCTGTATTTTGGATCACTGAGTTTCAAGCTAATAGGTAAGTGCTCCTGCACAACTGACCTGTGAGAAGGTAGGAAGTATCCTGTCGTTGGGACAGCCTGTATTTATAAACTCACTGCTCTTAGATCCATGACGTCACGGATCAGCACGGATAAATGCTGAAAACCCAGGAGAAGCACTTGGGGTTGGCTTTTCCTGATAAAGCCCACCGATTCCAAGTGAGAACCTGCAAGGTCCGTGGGATGCAGGTAGAGAACAGCGTTCCTGTCTGCCAGTCCCCGGCCCCAGGTGGGATGCGGCACCGCCCCCATCGCAGGATGCCCGGCGGGGTGCAAACGTGTCCTCCGGTAGCGCCAGGACCCTCCCCGGCAGCCCCAAGTTCACGGATGGCGGAGAGAGGGCACATCTAGGGCAGAGCAAGATGCGATAAAGGTTCACGTGTTTCTGGAAGCTCTCTGAGAATCGCAGGCCATGTGAATTCATTTTGGAAACAATTTCCTTTCTAAGTTATGGCACTGCATAAAATATGTCCAAGCAGCACCGTAAATGCTGGAATACTCCTTACGTCTAAGGGTCTGAGGACCTGATGCCAGGATTTCTGGTCACCTGGGCTCTTGGATTTCCTCATCCACCTCTCCGGAGTCGCACCTTTCATCGCCTGCACGATCCCCCTTCCTCCTCGTCTTCCCAACCCCTACCTGGGTTTGCCTTTCTAGAGCCTTCCTTCCCTCCTCCCTCCTTGGGCCACACCCAGGTGTCTGCCTGGCTCTCCTAGTGTCCTAACCAGCTGCTGCCTCCACTTTCCTGACTCCCACCTATGATATGCTCCCATGGCAGGTGGGCTTTGTAAATGTCTCCTTTGGTGTGGCCCTGTGCCCTTGAGACACCTCAGACACTCCCCAACTCTCAGGGAGCAAGCCTGAGAACCAGACTGATCTCTCCCTATGCCAGGGGGCTTTAGACCTGTGTGTGTGTGTGCACCTATGTGTGTGCACCTGTGCCCGTGTATACCCGAGTGCATCTGTGTGTGTACACACCTATGTGTGTGCCTGTGTGTGTGTAGCTGAGTGCATCTGTGTACGTGCACCTGTGCATGTGCCTGTGTGTGTACCTGAGGGCACCTGTGTGTGTGCACCTGGGCCTGTGTGTCTGTGTGTGTGCCTCTGTTCACATGTGCCTGCCCCTGAAAGGAGAGCACGCCCTTTAGGGCATTGCAAGGTGGGCAGAGGGAGAGACGTGGCAAGTGTGGGTGTGGGGAGAAGGGCAGGGAGGGCAGGGGGACTCCCGGGGAGGGGAGGCGGGGCTCCGACCAGGGGCGCCTCCGGCTGAAGTCTGCAGCTGCTACCCAGACTGTGTCTATAATCACCTCATGTGCCACAACACCTCTAAGTGGATT